CGCCCCCACGTACAACTGAACAGAAGGTGACGGCAGTCAGTAATACACAACTATCCCTGTGCACAGAAATACAAGTGATGAATTTTGAGAACTCATACATAGGACTGCAGGTATAACACTACTAACTCACACAACCTACTCACAAGATTGTTCTGCTTCCAACTCTTAATGCAACTGTTATAATTTAAAAGGAAAACACTGGGGAAAACTGGCATTTTCTAGATCTGAAATAGAAGCACATCACTATATACCCGACATAGTAAAGACATATTTTCAAAAAAAATGGTACTTGTGACAGCGTGGGGTGGCAAAGAACAAAACTACCAGAAGAAAGGATATTGACATTCAAATATAAAGCAAGAGTTCAATTGCCTATTTCTGAAAAACAGGAACACCACATTTCAAGTGTAACTACAAACTGGGTAGGAGGCAGAAATTGGGCTGTATTACACATACATGTACTGCTCAGCAACGGCATAACTGACATTCACCTAACCTTGTCTTATTTCAAGGAGCTCGATAATCAAGTAAAATACTAATCATATCCTACCTAAGGGAAAAAAAAAAAAATCAGAATGAAAGCAAAGAATCACATAGTCCCTCAAAAAAATAAATAGTACAACAAGGAAATTAAAGCAACTTCTTTTTTATTAATATTTTTAGGTGTGCAATGGCTTTCATTTTTAATCTGCTTGTTGCAATGGCGGTGTTTCAGCTTTAAACACATTTTTCTTGGAGCAGGGTAGAACTTCCAACAGTTCATTTATGGAGCTAAATCATGGTGGTGCACTTTGAGGAAGAAGAGACAGTTCAAATACAAGGAGTTTAAGCAAAGCTCTAATTGAGAACTTGTGTAGACCAGAAGCCTTTATTCTCAATAAGGATTCTGAGCAGAAAGGGGCACAGTACTGAATATACCCAGGCACGTACGCTCTCTTACGCAGTGTTGAAACTATTAAAAGAAAGTGCGTTCTCCCTCCTTGTAGACTTTCAATTTAGGAACAAAGGCACAAATTTCTGGCCTTAACGGGAAAAATCCAAAAGCCGGTAATGGAGCTATTAGAGAGATGTGGTTAGGACATCACCATGAAAAAAGGGACTAGAAATAACAGGAAACAAACAAGCTGTTGTCCAGTGCCATTATGACCAAATATGAAAAAACCCTTGATTCCTTACCGTAATGTTTTTATATTTTAAAGAAATTTCTGAAAATGGATGAAAATGGTACTTAAGGTAACCAATATATTAAGAAAACGAAATGGCTAACATGACACCTCCTCTCAGCACAGTGATTATTAATTAATGTTTTCTCATGCACATTACTTATAAGTGACAGAAGCTTCAGCCTCATGTATAGTATCACGATTTGTAGATTAAATATCCACCTAAGCCACATCTGCCAGGAAAAAAAAACATTAGGATAAAGAACCAAGAAGTCACTAAGTCACAAGGGTAAAGTGCCTGAAGTTACAAGGAAATTGTCTACCGGTTGGCCTGCATATGCTGACTCAGGTAGAGATAATTAGGTTACATACAGTGCATATTATTTACATGCAACTTTTTCTTCCCCTTTGAGAAACAGGGATTCTTCTGTTGCACTACCTACACATGGCATGCATAACTCAGCTGTGTTACCAACTTTAAAAAAAGAAAAGAGCTCATAGTAAAACATGACTTCCTGTTAATTATGTTTAATAAAAAATACTGCTTCACTGTTTTGGCTCAAGCAGTAAGCAGGTGACTCAAAATCAATGTATTTTAAGACATCAAAGCATCTACTATTTCAGTTTCAACACGAAGAGATTAATCAAAATTGATGGTATTCCTGAACTGAGGTTAACATACTGCTTCTCTGTAAAGGCCTGCTTTTTCTTCACTCAGTACTCTGCTTTCACTTTGACCTACTTTCATTTGACCTACTCATAGTAGGTCAAATTGCCTATAGGATCTGTGTTTTGATTAACTGTTAACAGTGGTACAGTCAAAGATCAGAATTTGTATAATAATCTACTTCATTTCAGTTCCACAGAAAATGCTGTAACAGTTCTGATGGCTATCGTATCTATCAAGAATAATTTTACAACTTTCCAACCATTTCAGACTTCATAATTTAAGTATATGTTTAGAAATACTTCTCTAAATGTGACACAGCTAGTACAGTAAGCACCTTTATGCATTCCTAACATCAGAAAGTAGAAAAAAGAAAATCATTATAAACTATGAAAAATGAGGCAGCATATGTGGAGAATTAGCCTGGTTATGGCAAACATTAAATTTTATTCTCAAGAAAACATTTTTGCTTTTATTTTTAATGCATTCCAAAGCACAAAGACAGTGTATGTGAACATTTCCTCCTCCATTTTCACAAGTATATTACAAATATGCATGGCATAGTACATGTCTGGATAGCAATAGAGATATTAAGAAAATAGACACTATCTAAATCCTATTAGGAATAAGAAGGCACCACTGATTTGAGGTTGTGTCCAGACATCACCCAGTCCATTTTATTCTCATTTCCAGCTTTCAAGCCAACATTTTTTTTCTAATTAACCTATTCAGACCACTTCTATTCTGGTTTTCTCACCACAAACAACACGCATTCATAGTAGTATTTCATCATGGAGAGTTCATTCACAGTGTAAGTTGACAGTACAGATTCTTTCTCCACCTGAAAAAAAAGCAGCAGTTTTCAAAACATCCTCTCTACAGGAACTATACAAATTTCTCTTAATAAAAAAGAAATTGCTATATACTTACTAGATTTCAAGGCCCATCTATACGCTTTTTAAAAAAGGAGGAAAGCAAATAATATGCAACACACAAACATTTAATTCTCCTAGAAGTTATTAGTATATGCCACTATGTTGAACTAAATTTAAGGTAAATGTTTATTCAAAGGAGTTTGTCTGGTTTATACCAGGTACTACTCATTGCAAACTACAGCATCTTCTTACCTCTATGTGGAATCCATATTGCAGTATAACATTTTTTATATCCTCGTAGCTTAATTCTATAGAAAGTTCATTTCCCAAGTTTTCAAAGTGGTAAAGGAGAGGACCTAGAGTACAAAGATACAATGGAAATGGCTATTAAAAAGACAAAAATGTTTTAAAAATCAAAAACACATACTGAAAGTGCAAAGAATGCTTACATCCAGACTCACATACTCAAATACAGACAAAAGAACGTACTTCTATCACTCGAATATGATTTTTATACCAAATTTCAGAATCAATGCAAAATGAAAACAAATTAGTTCAGCTGCTTATTCAACAATGAAGTCTCATTTCCTACCAGGTTGTGTTTTCTGTATCCTAAAGTTTCTTCAGTCTAGCATCACTGCCGTCTCTACAGAACAGAAGGCAGGAGACGCTGTGGTCTACTCAGGAGCTCTGCTTGCATTCTGTGACTGGCCAGGACTGGTGTAGTGACTGACTGACCAGTGACTGGCCGGTTTCTGCTATGCAAAATGTTTAACTCCTGAGTTTTGTCTGCCATTCCTTCACCATGGGAGACTTAATTTAAACTCTCTCTCCTTTTGAGCCAAGGCATACATAAATCTCATTCCCAAAACTTCTGTTTAGAAGCACAGTACAGATTAGACAACAGATTAAGAAAAAAATGCAAGGATGTATTTACACAGAACAAGTTCTATTCTCTTAGAAAAATAGCAAAAAAGAATACAGGACACTACATTTGTCAAATAACAAATGTTTGATGCACGAATGCAAAACCTGCAACTGGGAAGATTTACTCCTCTATTTAAAAACCACATTGTACTGACATGATTGTAATTAGCAAACATCTGGTCATACTCTGAACACATCTGAGCTGATTTCCAAGCCCTAGATGTTTCTAGCTCTACAGAGTTTTCAGCACTGACACATTCATCCTGACAACTCTTTTCAAGTACTATAGCTGCCTGTTATGTGATCAGACGTAAGTCAGGGCTAGCAGGAAGAGAAGTTGGTCACACTTGCCTACATTTATCCATATTCCTCCAGGCTTTAGTATTTTCCATATAGTATCGATGTAATCAATAACGTTATGTGCTGTATCTATGAAAAAGCAAGTCGCTATGCAGTCCCACGTATCTGCGTAAAAAGAGCAAATTATACAGGGATTAGTTTCTACGTTTCTACCCCTGTAAAAGTTAATCATTTAACCCCAGTATTTGTTTATATACTCAGCATTACCTTCAACTAACAACAAATGAAGGCTCTTCATTTCATTTACAACTAAATAAAATATTTCGGTTTATGTTAACAAAAGTTATGCTTGGGTTCGTGTGACCTCTGTGTGTATATATATGTGTGTGTGTATATACACATACACACTCTAAAATATTATACCTATTTATTAATGCATTTTATAAAATTGTTCACACACATTATATAAAGTGAGATAAATTTATATTATTTACTGTAAAACGTAAATATGATAACACATTTTATATAAATGAAGGCCCAAGGGTGCTATTACTCACCTGTCCTATGAACTTCATTATCACAACTGTTAGAAATTCAACTGCAAAAATACCCAGTGATTTTCGGCCTCCCTAGTTAATATCTGGAACAGTCTGTACACTAAAGTGTACTTTCACAAACCACATAGCTTTAAAACATTTTATTCAGTATCTGAATACTTCTCCAGCCGTTTTTTGCTAGTGAATTTAACAAGCAGGATCTCCAAAGTCTACCTTTTAAAGCATGAGTCTCCCTGTTTTTCTCTAAACATGTATCCTTGAAATTGCAAGTTTTAAAGTTCTGTAAATAAAAAAATTAGAAATCTCAATTTACGCCAGTATCAGATGTTCTAACGTAAGATAGAACCTTCAGAAAATTAAGCAACTATAAGGAAGGCTCCTACAAGAAAATATCTGGAAGTCTAGATGCACAATAAAGGGCAGATCAATAGCTATATAATCCTAGTAAAAAATTGCTATGTCTAATAGGGACAGAAAGGTGGAAACAGAAAACAGATGTCTGAAGTGATAATCCAATACTGTGTAAGGAAAAAATAGTGACTTCTAAATAGGCATACATCAGAATATTAGACTACCTATAAGAACTGGGTGTTTAACCTTGATCAAATCCTAAATATGTAATTGGTAGAGTAGGTACTGAAGAGAGTCTTTTGCAGATTAATTCAACATTAGATTAATCATAAAACATTACTTCATAGGTGCAATGAGGACAGCACAACTAACCTGATATCACAAGAAAAAATGAGGTTATTTGTATTGACAGAAGTCTCAATCTTTGATAATTATCATCCCCATAATGTGCCTCAAATATTTACTATTGACAGTCAATAAGTATATATTTGTTTAATTTATAATTTACTGCTACTGAAATAGTTTGCTTTTACAACAGGAAATGAATCAACAAAAAATATATTTCTATTTTTTACACTAAAGAAAAGAAGTGACTAGTTACATTGTTCCCTTTGTAACATCACTTTTTTAAATCAAGTAAACCTTTCCATAATACTACTATGCTGTCTTATTCTGAAAGAGACTACTGCAACAAAGATCCGTTAGGCAAGGAGGTGTCAGTATTTTTTTTACAACTAAGAAAAAAGCTGATTTGGAATAAGAAGGTCTTGCTACAGTTAGTACTTTTTGCTCAATGCTTGTAGATACAGTTCCCTTCTATTTCTAATCATTAACTGTCCCATAACAAATACTCTGAAGATAGTTACATGGATAGCCTAGAAGTTTACATTTACTCACTGCACTCAGAATAAATTTCTTGAAAATCCCCTGCTGTCATAGAGAAGTTTGAACCAGAAGGAAGACTGTGAGGATCAACATCAGGGAAATAAATTGGCCGTATCTGATCAGCAGATCTTCTGTTATTGCTAAACTGATGAATCCAGGGATAAAGCTTACATGAGTTAATTTCAGAGCATCTGCAAAATACAGAAATCAGCACAATTCAGTTTCAGCTAATTGCTTACCTATTATCTAAAAATGTAGGAGTCAAAGACTTTCACCAACTTCCATTGTCTTGTTGATAAAGTTCTTGCAAAAGCTACACGTTTTCTAAAGGGCTTTTATCTAGTTCCTAACACTTCAGACTGCCCATCTATTTATGAACTGATGAAAAAAACAATTTTACTCTGACACACAAATTTCACCACAAAATAACTCCTTTTTTAATTTTAGGATTTTCTTTTCCCACTTTTTACCATTTTCCCAGACTTATTTTTCCAGTGAAAAGAAAATGCACAAGATCCTTTTGTAAGATTAATGAAATTTGTGATTTAGTATAGTCAGTAAAGCTAAGAAGCTAAGCCTTTCTGGGTCATATTTCTTCTATTTTAAAAAAAAAAAAAAAAAAAAAAAAAAAAAAAAAAAAAAAAAAAAAAAAAAAAAAAAGAAAATTAGTAACATTAGTTCCATGAATTTTATTTGAAACATTTGTTCTCATTCTAGACTTTTCTGTCTTTTCTGAACCATTATGATAGGGATTTTGAAGCACAGCAGAACAAAAGCATTTTTCAGATCCTAACTGAAAGGAAGCTTTTAGATTTCAGAAAATAAATAAATCCCATTTTGCAAAGCGTAGTAGTTTTGCACTAGATGTCATTTTAAGTTAGTAACATCTGCAGTGTTGCAATTTTGCTAAGTAAACATGTCTTTGTAAAATAAAATTTGTGGGTTGATGTGACCAACTAAGTCGACTCTTATTTTAAAAAGTGATAAAAAATAGCATTGAAGTATAAAAAGCAGCTTTTCCCACAGTCCTATAAAATCAGTTTGTAATGAAAGAAAATGGCTTCATTTTTTAAGAGACAACAGAGGACACATCTGTCCCATAGAACACGTATCATCAAACACTTCATAAACTGCAAGCAATCTACCAGGTTATAGAAAGTGCACTCTTTTGGCTGGTGGATAGAAAACACCTGTGGTAAAGTCTTTGAAATAACATTTTCTACCTTCTTCATTCCATATTTATATTTCATCAGTTAAAAAAATACAAAAATAACCTGTATTAGAGCAGCAGTATACTGCACTCATCAACTGTCTCCATATGTAATGAATAAATATCAGATATATGCAGTCAGACAAGGAAAAAAAGCAAGGAAAAAGCCCTGATAACATGGGCATCATTTGCTTCAAGAAAGGCATTTCTATTTTGGTTAAAAAAGAAAAACAAACCAGAACAAAAACAAAACAAACCAACCAAAAAACACCACTACCACAACACCACCACCACCCCCCCCAAAAAAAAAACCATATTGGCCAAAAGTTGCATGTTAACCATTCTAGCATTCTCCATATGCTCCCAGTCAATTTGTATTATCCTCAGAACATTTTTCTTTAACAATTAAAATTTGCCCAAAAGCAAGGTAAAGAAAATAAGAGATCTGAGTAGATTAGAAAGGGGTTTTTTTCTGAGCTATAAGGGAACACACACCTCCCTGTATTTTTTTTTCCCCAGCACAAAGTATATTCATGTAGACTGTCGAACATTTCCAAAAGGAATTCCCAATTTAATATAAAAGACCAATCCCTCTCCATATTCAAGCTTGAAAACCTCCCTTTCCAGCTTCAGTAATTTATACTTTAACACTAAGTACTGCGGTCCTTTACAATTCCATCCTTCCAATAAAAGATGTATGATGTAAGTTATATTATAAAAACATAACATCTTTAACCAGGTGTGACACACTTCACTTTCTTCCATAGCAGCAGGGCATTTACTGTTCAACACTGAGTTGAAAAGGCGGTTCTGGAAAAGATGGGTAGGTCAACTCTTGCTTCTGCCCACTGATTTAAAGATAAAATGCTTAACTGTTTTCATCCTAAGACATTCATGGACATGCAACAAATACAATTAAGCAGCCGGCTCGAAGTGTCAAGTTTTATCTAAAATTACATTCTTTCCAGAAAGCAAAGGTTAGCCAATTATTAGCATGAATTCTACTGGTATTAACGTTTTTTTAAACCAACCCTACTCTGACTTGGGTACAAAGTGATTTTATACTACTTCAACTGAACTTTCTCAAATATTCCTAAGTGGGACTACTGCTACTGAAGGGCTGTTGGACCGAGGCTACTGACCCTATGCTCTGTATCTCCAGCTGCAGGGAACAGCAAGTAAGTAACCAGCTGCTCCTGCCTCTTCCACACAGATACCACCCTAGTGTTGTTTCCCCTCCTGTCAGATGTCAAAGGGAAGTAACTGTGTCCTGTGGCTCCAGACTGTCTGAAAATTTTGGTATGCTTTCCAGAGGTAGGAAAACAGATTATGCTTTTCACAGTTTTTGCTCTTCCAAAACATGTAAGAAATGAAGTGTGTCTGTACATCACCAATGATCACCTCTGCTGTCATGATACCCAAAACTCATCTAAACACTAGAAAAATATATCAGCAACAAGAACCTTACCCATACAAGAAAACAATTTCCCATACAAGGACTGCAGCAGCATTGGAGCCATTGTAGCTTAACTACTCCGGGGTCACTTTATTTTCAAATTAGAGCTTCCTCAATGGAATAATGCACTCTGATTTCAAATACTTACAGTGACCACAGTTACACCCTGACGCACTCTACACAACATGGTATGCAACTTTATCGATGGTAACAAAAGTTCACAATTTAAGAGAATTAAGTTTTTTTACATGCATAAAAATCAGCAGATACCACATTGTATACAGAAGACTTAAGTCACTGTACCACATCTAGGAGCCCACAGCAGTAGTTGGCTTGACACTCAGTATAGTACTTTGTCTTCCTAAAAATAAACTAAGGTCAGAGAAAGAAGGTAGATCCAAACTGTAAGCACGTTAGTAAAATCCTCATGCTTTTATCAACTGAAAACAAAAATTAAAGACTGTAGTTAAAAACTAATTTGCAAAATCCTTCTTCTTTCCACTCTTCCTTAACTGGTATCTTCAGCTCCTATTAATCATCACTGTTTCTTCCAGTTCCAGGAAGGCAAACATGTCCATTTCAGAAGGCTAACTGGGAACAGCCACTTAAGACTAAAATGAAAGATCCCAGAAGTCCCTAAAACCTTCTTAACAGACATCCCAAGCCCACAATTAGATCTGGCAGAAAGGAGTGCTTGGACTTCAACTGAACTGATGAAATTCAGAGTTAGGTTAGCAGTATTCTCTTCCATGCTAACAAGGAAACTTGTAACTGGTAACTTGCCCAGCAAAGATGAAGATTACAGCAGCTGAGCAGCACTCCATTTTGCTGTGTAAAATCTAATACTGTTACAAAGTCTAATGCATATACACCTCTTTGCTAAGTATCTTATATAAATAGGAAACACCACATGAGCATTAGATGCTAAGAATGATTACTATCGTAACCTAAGCATGGATCTTCAAGAGAATTCCACATATAGGCCAAAGACTCATTATTTAAGGAAGACAAAAAACATGTCAGAGGTAATTGATTAGGGGTTAAGTTAACTTTCAGATTTGAACCACTATGACAGCTGATCAGTGCTCCCAAAGATAGGAAATGAATACTTTTATGCTGCTTTGAGTAATTTCAAAAGTTCCAAAGAGCGTAAGACCCAGCAGGGCTGTATAGCTGAGGACGAGAAGAACGTGACCTCCTTTCAGTAGCTGTAAGGCATTAGATCAGCCCAACTGTAATATGCAATTTCACCACCAGATGAGTCATTTAAGAATAATGTAAGAAAAAGAACAAATAAACCTCTAGCAAATATCTATTTTCATCACATTGACCACTACTGTTTTAAGCAGACACGCAGCAGCCATAATAAACAGTGTTTTCCCCTTCTTGTTTTTGAACAGTAAGCTGTAACAGATTTAAGATCATCACAGTCCACTGTGGACAATCAGTCTACAAACAGGGCTCCAAAACATCATGGAAATATAGAATACAAGCCAATAGTTTAGGTGTTTTCAGCAAAGGTGTATCATTTCAGATTGAAGAACGAGTGAACTGGCAAATTCTGTCTCTCTGAACTTAGCACCAACTCCGCCAAAAAACAAACCACCACCCCAGACCTCTTTCATACTCGCCCACCCATAGTCTTCCCACCCTCTTTAAGAACAGTTGCATTTGCTGCCTCTTTCCTAACAAGTTTAATACCAAATACAGAAATGTCACTATAAATTAAACCTATAAAGTTAAATTTACTACATTCAAATCTAGTACCTCAGTGTAACTGTAGAACTATTAACTATATTATTTTAGCTGTTACTCAGTGACAGGACTTGCTTAAGGAGTGGTTCAGTGTGCTTTGGTGGTTTTCACGCCAAAACAGTGCCTAAAATTTTAGTATGGAATTAACACTTTCTTTAACAGGTTTCCTCTGTTACTAATCACCACCACTAAGTACCATGCACATATTAACTAGACCATATTTGACATTGGTGGTAGGTGTGCATTTTACAGAAACAGATGTGAAATAAATCATAAAAGCTATTCAAGATTATGCAGCAAATCTGTGGTACAATCTAGAGATTTTAAGTCTCATAACTTAAAAGCCATGCTTCCTGCTATAATTTTAATGACTCAGATACAATGCTTCCCTCCCCCATTTATCCCACTGATTTTTTTTTCATTAAAACATTTTAAAGAGTGGTTATGTGTGTCCTCTGTTAGGATTTACAAATCTATTATTGTGCGGTTTATTTATTCAAGTTTTTCTCATTTATAATTTTGCCTCCCTAGGTTTCAGTCAGCAAGTAAAACATAAGCTATGTACCTGTTGAGTACAAAGTTAGAAGAAAAGAGCATAAAGAGGCTCCATTCATTTCCTTGGCAAGCATAACCGAGCATAGCTATTTCCCACGCCAATCTACCTAGCCCAGCACCAGGTACCAGGATATTAACTTTGGAGAAATCCCTGCAACAGAACAAAAATAATAGTTAAGTCTTTATCTGATACCTCTTAACAAAACTTACAGAGGGCTGGTCAAACATTTTTTCCCCCATATACGTAGATACTATAATGTATTTCCTGTATAACTTTACTTTTTAAATGCAAACTGAGCCAGTTCTGATCAGATTGGTTAATTGTACAGTCAAAATAATTCACAGAAAAACACTCAAAAGAACATATACAATCCTCATTCAGAATACAGATCATAATTACAAAACAGATTTTTTTTCCTGAAAACTTTTACAATTATCAAGCTAAAAATCTCTTAAGTGAATTGAAGAAAGAACATTATCATATAGCACCATTTATTTTTCTGTGAGGTGCACTGATAACTAGTAAATATTCTAGAAATCTTCTTAGTTACATTGCATGAAAAATAAACAAGTATTTTGACATCAGAAACATAGAGCAAACAAAACTTCCATAAGCCTATGAGCAGTTCAGACTGTAAAAACCTTAGTTACCTTCTCAGCAACTTGTGGGTTTTAAATATGCTGTTCACTGATTGCACTCAAGCACATTAAGTGACATAAGATTTCCTAAATCAAGGTACACTGCAGCTCTCTAACCCTTCACTTCCCATAAGAAGGCATCAAGTTGAAGAAGACATCCAGCATGTGCGTTTAATGAGATATCTAGAAAAACCTCTCCCATCTTCCAAGTTCAGCAACTAATAAATAGAAGAACGAAGAATCTCAAAATTTTCTACTCTTTCAGGCAGAAAAGGCAATATATACATATTCTAACCATTAGACTTCTATCACAACCCAATCAAACCTTCACTCATAAAACAAAAAACATTCCCATGCCAAACTGAAAAGATACTTCATCTAAAAAGAATGAATTTTTCACTTTCCAGTCGTGAACAAGACTTCGTAATTTCATATACCAAAAAGCCACGTGTGAACAGTCAGACTACCATCCCTTTTGCCTGTCACCTTCAAAGACAAAACACACATGTACCAATTTATATGCAACTAAATGAAGGAAGCTACAATCAGCACTTCCAAACCTATGATGAAAGAAAGCAAAATGCAAAGCCTTTGACTATATAAAAAAATCAGGATGCCGAAAAGGGTTCAAAAGAGTTAGTATGCTACATAAGCATGAAGGTGAGCGAGAGAGTTATGTAAATTCTGAAAAGTAGTACAATTCTGAAGACTATTACCCAAAAACAAAAGAAAGCATTATTCTTTTCTGAAGGCCACACAAACTAACAAAGCAGTTAACAGTGCCTTTTGGTTAGTGGCTTAATCGTGTAATTAGTGAAGCCTTCCAAATGGAAAATCAAAGTTCTTCTCATTCCTGATTTTCATTTCCATTCCATTATACTTTCAGATTCTTCGTTTTCTGATTAACAAGAAGCAGGAAATCAAGACTTTGCTACTACTTAAGAGCACTCCTGTGAAGCAACAGTTCTCCTTACCTCGCCTCTCTTCTACAAGGAAAGCCAGAAGAAAGCTAGCCAGAAAGTCTTACTGAAAAAAAGACAGATTAATTCAGGGAAGAACTACTTGCTCAAGAAGAAATTTTTGAAAATAGGGACCCAGAAGGAGGAGGAGGAAGAAGAAAATCCACTTTTTGGGAGAAGCTAGAAAAACCTCCATCTTACAGCTTTTTCTATTCGTAGTGGTGTATCTATTCACTGTTATTTCAAATGTATTTTTAACCTAATCTATTTCTTAATTTCCTTACAATTTATTTGTGAAATATTTAGACTAGCTCTACACAGATTTTTGCACCCCCATGCGGACACTTCTACAATGAGTGGGTTGAAAAGCCTTACACCACTTCCAAGATTATCATACATTGATTAGAAAAGACACTTTTCTTAAAACAACTTATTAACAAGGAGCTATGCAGGTGTAATCACATTTTGAAATCTGCACCTTTATTCATCCTAAAACAAGATAAAGCCTCTAACAGGCAAGTGAGTTGATTTTGAATTGCTTGTAATTGTCTTGTATCTTTTTATTCACAATATAAAGCTTTTGTATCTCTGAACAAATTTTCCCAATTCTCTCTTACAAAATAGTTGATTTTAACTGCACTTTTCTTTGCACCTTTATTAAGGCATTCAAGTCTGTCTGGAAACTTGTTAGCCATTTAACTTTTATCTATATTCTTCATATTAGTTGCTAGGGACTAGTGCTGGCCACCAGTATCATTTCAGCACACAGAGCACAGCTAATAAAATACAATATAATCAAATCTGAGTCCACTAACATTGACACTAGCCTCCCAAAATGGTTCAAGAGCTTTTTTTTATAATCTATAATCAGACAAATTAGACATGTGGCAAACTTACTGTATAAAAAATAGTGACTGTTGATGGTGTCCTGCTATCAAAAAACATGCTCAAACACCACCTTTTTCAAGACTTAAAAGGAATTGTTACTGACAAACTCTTGATGAATTTCAAAAAAATTAAGGCATGGAACCAGTGGTAGTTAGAGCACTCCAATGCATTATATTATGCTAATTTTTTAATCATTAGAACAGCTAAAATTAATTGCACAGAAACGGCTTTTTTAATGGCTGAACAGTCATAAGATAATTTAGGAGGCTAGAAAAACCTGCTTTCCTTTGGTGGCCATGTAATTGCAGCAGTAGCAAAGACAATTAAAAAAAATACCAAACTGTGATAACCGATAATAACCCAAGGTTACCCACAGTGAAACTAGCCTTGGACTAGTCAGCAGCAGCAGGATTTCTATGGCATAGATCTAGCATTGGTTAGGAAAATAAATGGGTATCCAACAAGTACCCATTAAAAAAACTGAGGGGCAATATGGAAGAAACATTGACCTATTAACCAGACAGGTGTGGGGAGAGGAGGCTGGCCAAAGAGCAGGGAAAAGGGCTGCATGGTACTGTTTGGCTCAACTACTGAAACTGCAGCAGTCTCTTAAAAAGACAGGGGAGAAATATAAAAAACAACTAAAATCTGTCATGGCATTATTGTTCTGCATTTTGCATTGTGACCTATTTTCACCTTTTAGAAGTTTAATTCTATTAATAAAGATTTTAACTTGGTGTCCTTTTTTTAAGGGAAAAATTATACATATAGAGGCTTCTTATTTTATGCCTATTGTGCTTTAACAAAAAAAAATGATGGTGCTGAAAGGGTAAACCGAAGTTCAGCAACAGAAAAGTTAGTGTGTGATCAAACACAAACCTCATTTTCATAAACTGAACACTGCAATTCAATGTTAGCTAATGATAGTAAGCGATAAGAAATATACAGCCCATACACAGAAGATCAGTGGAAATATCAGCATAGAATCACAGTCAGACTCCTTACTTCCTGATGTCTTACCTCTAATGTTTGTAAATTTAGATAGTGAACAGATCCAATTCTCAGTATAGTATTTTTCATTATTTTTCTGTAATCACATTCTCAGAGGTTTTTTTTTTTTAAAGACAACTACTTTTCAAATAAAATAATGAAGGTAGCTAAAAAGCGCAATCATTTGAAGAGCAATTCTTCTCCAAACTGAGCAGCTGAGGTTTATATACTTCTGTGTATATAAGACCTGCAAAGCCTTCAGTGGACTGCAATAATACCTAAGATATAGTTTCCTCTTAAATCCAAAGTTTAGGCTAAACACAATTTTTGACGAGCTTAAAAACCCTGAAGGACAGATATATTTTATATAGAGTTAAATAAAATTCATATAAAGCAGAAATTTTATCATCACTATAAATGCGACTGAGCGCATGCAAGAAGTATAGCCAAGCTCGGCCTTAGGATAATAAGCTATATTTTCCAAATAAAAAGGAAACTAAGCACTGGTGACTTCTTTTGGGCTGTCCTGCTAGTACCTTGGAAAATGCAATCAATTGCTGGACAGCATGATATTTATATTGCAAGTTATAGGTGGTTCCAGAGGCCAAGTTAATGAATAAAAAAAAAACTTTGGAGAAAATACCTAAGTTTACCATTCTTGGCCATGGAAAGATAATTAACTAAAAGGTTAACTATTTCTTTGGTTCCTTTTGGACAAGAAGCTGATGATCTTTACATCCTTTCACATAAGTAGGAAGGGTAACACTAGAAGTGAAAGAAAATAAAGATGACAAAAGAAAAGGGGAATTAGAAAAAGAAAATGCACTGGTATGCTTATTTAGATTTTCAACTTAATATTTCCCCATAAAAATGCTTTAACAAACACATTCCATCAAGAAATAAAAATGCCTCTATGTTTTACTATTTTCTCCTACAGAAAGTAGCAATCGTGGTTCATTCAGATCCAAGAAATTCAAATGGCTTCATCGAAAGGTAGACAATATTATAAAGACCCTGTGAGCTAAAACACAACTAAATTCCAACATGAATAATGCAGGAAATCTATCAGTTCTTCAGGAAGACTTTATCGCATGGGACGTCACTTAAAACTGCTTTGTTGATCCTGCTAACAGATGCCATGTTAACGTGCTGAGCAGAAAGAAGGAATTATTTCTGAAGAGGAGTGGGAGGCAGAAACAGCTTTTTCCATTTTATTTTTAGATTACAGTCTTGTCAAAAGACTGGACTGAAACACAAGATAAGAGTAGCACCTACTCACAAGACTGTTCCAATTTACAGCTGCTTTCAACCCTTGCTGTTATCCCTTCTGCTTCCCAGAAGAGCAAGCATATATATAGAGCACTTCACTTCCCTTCCTCCTCTTTGCATTACCAACTGAACCAATACAGGCCAATCTTGCAAAGAGCAGCAACAACACATGACGTGCATGCATGAAGCGAAACATACTTGAATAGTTTCAAAAATTTGAACTCCTTTTTCACATTATTCCAATGCATGGGATCAATAATGTTAAAAAATGTTAACTAGAAACTGAACATACAATTCCACTGAAGCCATTAAAAAGTAAAAGGTGACTCGTACCGACAGTTTTAAATTTAAAGTATTTACTTCCCCATCTTTTTCAATGCAAAATAGACCTTAGACAAAGCTGTTTTCATCAGCCAGTGCAAACAATACACGTTTTCTCTAGCACTTCCATCTCATCATCTCAGGAGATTTCAGTCCTCTGTGCTACAAAAGGGAACTCTGAAGAAACGCGAAGCTGCACTCTGAGGTTCCATCTACAGGTTGTCTTCCCACAGGAGTGGCCAGAGCCAGTCCTCTCCAGAGGAAACGGACTTTGCACCCACTATACACAACAGCCAGAACAACTTCAGTACGGTTCAAGCCCTGTCCATCCCTTCAAACTGAAACAACTGCTCCCCTCCAAAACTGTGAAAAAGGAACCAGACTTGACCAGCCAGCCTGCCCTGCCAGGGAAGTTCCTTCTTGCACAAGCGTGAGGTGGCACTGCCAGTTAAGCCTGATAATACACAAAGAGAACAGGCCTTTCTGAATGACTCTGCTTCCTGCCTCAAAGAGATAAATACACCT